GGAAGGAGAGGAAGGGGCCGGCCACCGGGGAAGAGAGGGCGATGCCAGGGAAGGAGAGGGAGGGAGGGAGGCGGCGGCGTCGGATCCGGTCCGGGGAGAGAGAGGGGGTGGCGGGGAAGGAGAGGGAGGGGCCGGCCAGATCCGGGGAGAGAGAGGGGGCAGCGGGGAAGGAGAGGGAGGGGCTGGCCGTCGGGGAAGAGAGGGCGACGCCGGGGAAGGAGAGGGAGGGGCCGGCCGCTGGTGGGGCGTAGGGAGGAGCGCGGTGGGATCCGGGGAGGGAGCGAGCTGGGGCGGGAGGGAGGAGAGGGTGGGAACGGGTGGAAGCTGGGGCGTGACCGGGGCGGCGCCTCTTTCTCTAGATTTGGGATTTGGAAGAAGGGTCTAGGGTTTCTGTAAGTGGGCACGCGAGCTCAATGTAAGTGGGCGCATGAGCAAGGTGGGGCCCTTTTTTAGCGACAGACGGATTGATACTATAACTGTTTTCAGCGACAGATAGTTTGACATTAAAGATGATTACCTATAGCGACAGACAATTAATCTCTAAATAGAGAATTAGTGTCAGATTGTCTATGAGTTATCTTTAGCGTCAGATCATCCATCGATAAAAAAAGTTTTAGCGTCAGATGTCTGACGGCGATATGGTGTTGTGGTGTAGTGGAGGGAGCCGCGCGGATCTGCCCGCCTGCGCGCTCATAGCCGCGCGCCACCGAGGGAGAGGGGAGAGGGAGCCATACCTGCGCCGGATCTGAGCGGAGAGGGAGAAAGGGAGGGAGCCACCGGATCTACCTGCCCGCTGCTCATAGCCGTGCGCTGCTGAGGGAGAGGGAGGGAGCTTGCCATACCTGCGCTGGATCTTAGCGGAGATGGAGGGAGGGAGTCGCTGGATCTGTGAGCCCGACATCGAGGGGGATCCCATCGTCGAGGGAGAGCTAGGGAGGGAGGGAGCCCGCCGGGGAAGAGGGAGGGAGGCCATCGGATCTGAGCGAGAGATGGGGGAGGGAGATGGAGAGAGATCCGCATGGGGGAGGGAGAGAGAGGGAGGACAGGGGAGAGAGGGAGGGCACCGCCTAGGCCTGAGAGAGAGAGTGGAGAAGAGAGCTGAGAAACCCTAAGTTTTGGTTCTGCTTATATATGCGGGGGTACTGGGTCTTGGGCTGGATATCCAATATTCTGGATCCTGCATCATTTACAGGGAAATATGATCTATGACGTCCAACCGTGACGACAACTAAATTAGTCGTCATAGATGTATCACCTCATGAATGAACCGTCACAGACAATAGAATTATATGATGTTTTCTTAGAATGTCACCAGTAAACCGTCTTGTAAAGCCTTATTTCTTGTAGTATACTATAGATGATTGTCCGTATGTTGCAACAAGAGCAACAAAAATCATTGCACAAGATGTTTATTTTGTAGCCAAGTCAAAATCAAGATCATGGTAATTTAATTTTGCATGCATATTATACATTTTTTTGAGCAAAACACGCATATTATACATGACAATGATCGAATATCATCATTGTAGCCAACGTCTCATGGTCTTTGTCCTTTATCTTGGAACAATTCACACTGGATGTCCACGTCTATACCTCATGCATGCATCGTGTGTTGTATTCCTAATATGGTCTAATATTGTCCACAGCGTTGTATACGAAATGGTTACATAAGTCCAGATAATTTGAATGTGAATTTATCTTTAAGGTTGTATTGACGCATTTCTGTATAGCAGCTTTTCAGCAATACGTATATTTTGCTCAGATCACTTCTTAATCAATATAATCTTCTCGTACAATAGAAAAATTAAGACATGGCATTATATATTATTTTATCAAAAATAGCATAAAAATATGTCTGAATTGAGATCATGTGATGAAGTAGTTAAATATATCTTAGCTTAACAGGACAACAAACCTGGAACTTGTGAGTTTGTCGGATAGGGGACAGTGCTAGGCAGGTGAAAACAGATATTGAAAGGCTCAAACATGACAATGTCTAAAAACCTGAAAGAGTAAACATCCCCTGAACCTTATTTCACTGCAGATAGCCGGATTAATCATTTTGGCAATTGTCAAGGTTTCGACCCAGCAATGAAGATCAGCGTATCGCGCACAGGAATCAGAAGAGTAGCACATAGGACACAGATTTATACTGGTTTAGATACGTGGTACCCTACGTCCAGTTTGGACTAAATCTCTTTTATCTCGTGTGCTCGAGTTTACAAGTGGTTGTTGAGTATTGTAAAGGTGAGATCGGGTGCTCCCTACCCCGCCTTATATACACCGAGGGTAGGGCTACATAGATGGCGATCGGTTTACTAATACATTTCCTAGTTTGTTATAAGGAAATAAAATAACAAAATGGCTATTGTATCCTATAAAAGTCAGTGCCCAAACTCCTTGTGCCAGGTTGCTTGACCACCACGTTTGATGGCGCATCCTAGTTCGGGCGGGCCTCATCTTTGTCAGCCTCAGCCCATCCCATGGTAGTGAGCTTATATCGAGGCGATGAGATACCCTGGGTCCATATCACTGGCAACGATCATATGTTAGTTTCATCTTCACGGTAATTGTCTAGATATCATCTGTCAGTTTTGCTTACAATTGCTAGGAGCTTTTGGGAGTTATGTATATGCCCTTGGCTAACCATTTGGAAGGAGTTGGAGACCAGACAAGTGGAAGGACACTACTACATATTTGAGATGCACTCCAACCATACGAGAGCTTGTGTTCTTACCCCCAAGGATTGTAATCCTGCTTAGGGTTAGGTTACCAAGTGATTAGGACCTATCTTGATAGATATAGCGGCTTTGTCTTAATGTCATCGCATCTCGGTGAGTTGGAGAGCTTGAATTCTTAGCGACCTTCCAGTGAAGGTCTTGGTGGCCTTCCGTTGTCAATCTCTGAGCTAGTTGTAAAGTAGTGGTGACTTGGTGTGTGGGAGACGAGGAGACTCCTTCCTTAGTAGAACTCCATAGCGAGGAACTAAAGATGGCACCAAGGTGACCTTAAGAGTTGAGCAACGACGGTGAACCTATGTGGTTTACAACACTTGTCTTGGATAGCAGGAGACTTGGTGGTGGGCAGAACACTGTAACCAGAGGAAGAATTGGTGATCTTGATAGTGTACTTTGGTGGAGCTCCAACATGGACTAGGGGTTATATTTTAGCAATCGATACCATGGAATAATCACCTCATCTCTAGGAGAGGGTTTGTCCTCTATTTACTTACTATGTTTATTGCTTCTGCTTGTACATACTTTGTGTGGCCTTTACCTTAGCTTAGTCTAGTTGATAGGATTGGCTCTATGTTGCTAAATACTTTATGGGGTATAGGCTAAGACAGCACACTCGAAAATACTTAGATACACATCTTGCTATAACTAGTTTATGTTTTTTCTAGTAGTAGTTTTATTTGAGCCATACATTTAAGGTTTTTAAATAGGCGACCAATTCAAACCCCCTCCCTCTTGCGAACTCATGGCATGTTCCAAGAAAGCTCTGTGAGCTACGACGGCTGGCTGGTCAGCGAACACACCACCGTGCAAGTAAATGGACTAGAGGCTTAGCTCCGTGACCTGGGCTGTGGCATTTCACGATATGCCCATCCACTAGCATGTGGATGCATTGAAGTCCCTTTGGTCCCTAGTGTCTTCATGCCTCCTCACAACATGCCGTTCCTGTGACGACCTAGTCTGCATTTCCTTGTTATGCACGAACATTAGCATGTTGAACTTATTATTTGGAAAACTTTGTGTTTATGTATTGCTGAAACCGGCATTTCAATAGACTAATAGGATCTGGATATAGGCATTGGACGGTCCGATAGTTGCCACGCCGACCCATCACCCAAGTCAGGCAAGCCGGCGAAGTCATGCACTAACTGATGATTTGGTATGACAACTAGATGAGTGCGAAAATGAGCCGTCAAGTACAGTTGTGATGGCAGGTGGTGTCAGGGTTGAGGAGCTCGATGAGTGGTTAGGGGAGGTTAGGGCTTCGCGAGACAAGACAACAATGAGTACAAATGATTTGACGAGGCTACCATCTTGCTGTAGGTGGTAGTCAGCAGGAAGCTAGAGAAGATGACATGCGACAATACAAGGAGTGGGACACATGAGTTCGATGAAGACGATGTTGAGCTAAAGGCCCCACATTGAGGAAGTGGAGAATGATTGATGTTAAGCCTGTTTGAATTACTAGATTAAACTTTAGTCGTCTAAATTTTAACTGAAGTTTAGCTATAGACCATTCAAATGGGTAAACTAGAAGGTGGAGTTAACTAATTGTTAGTTCATCTCACTAGTCAATGTATCAAAGAGCACATGATTGAACTTTTAGTTGCCTAAAGTTTAGTCACTTAAATTTTCACCTACATTTTAGTTGGACTAGCAACTAATCCAAGTAATCCAAACATGTCCTAAGTTTAATTTGGTTTTGCTGAACCATAGTGTTTTTTCTTTGAGAAACTGCTTTGAGAAACTGCTGAACCATATGTGACATTGACTCGTTGGAAAGGTCCCACCATCAGAATTCAAATTCAAACCCAAAGGAGAGAGTTGAGTCGTGGCACCAACGACGGGCTCGCTCTTATTAGAGTCCAAAAAGCCCAAGCGGTGGTCCATCCGACGGGGCCCAGATCCAACTTCACCGGCCCAGACCCGACGGAGAAAAACCTACTCCTACGCTGCGCACCTGCTCTCGCTCCAGGCTCGCTTGCGCATCCAGCAGCACTGCACCAGCCGCCAGCAGGCAGCGCGGCCAGGTGGGGTGGCAGCCGCGTGGGAACGCTTGTCCCGATCCCTTCCTCTATTCTCCCAAGTCCCAATCCACCGAGTCACCGACCGAATTCCAAACCCTGCCTAGGACCTCGGCGCCGCTCGCCGCACGTCGGCCACATCCGCCTCCGCCGTGAGTATCCCGGTGCCCAACCCTCGTCTCTTCGCTTTCTCGCATGTCCTCCCGTTTGGATTTGACGCCGCCTGGCGGCTGGCGCCACGATGACCCCTGCCGCTCGGCACTCCCGGCGCCCGCTTACCTTCACCCCTCTTGGCGGCGGGCGGAGGCCAGGGTGGCGCCGCGGTAACCCGCGCTCGCGCTGCTGCTTATGCGAGCTTGGTTGGTTCCGGTGGCTCTTGTGGATACGTGGGTGGCCTGTGGTGACTTTTCTGCTTGCTTAAATCTGGTTTTTTCCTCTCTCCCTTTTTTCCCCCGAGTTCCGTTGCAAAACCTCGGGCGATTTGTTAGTGTTGGCATGAGGAGAGGGTCTTGCTTGTTCCCGATTGGACCATGCAACATGTAAGATCTCTTACAATTATGACGATTTACCTTCGATGGGGAATGTGATGGAGAGAATTATATCATTCTGATGTGGTGTTATGTCCTATGTTATCCCAGTTCTCTTCCTCAATTATACCCTGCCGTGGGTTGTGTGGTGAGCAAATCAGGATGGTGCTTGTAATGTTGGTGCTGTGTTTTGTAGGTGTTTGCCAGTTGTCTTGTTTTCTATCCTATTTATGGTGGGTACTATGATGAGTAAGTCTTGGTGGTCCTTGTTTCGTTCGAGTGTCATGTGGTGTACTCTATTTTTACTTTTGCATCAAGTCGAATGCTGAACTTGTTTGTGTGTGATTGTTGTGCTCTCGTATGCTTCAGAGATCCTAGCCCTTGTTTCTGATTTCAAAACGGTTGCCTGATGACTGGTTTGTGACTTTTAGTGCCCTTGCAAATGCTGACAAGTTTTTCCCCTTGTGCAATAAATATCTTTGCGCTATGAATGGATGGAATGAAGTGGGCTCATGTTGTAATGCCATTTTTTTTTTTGTTTCAATAGCCAATCCGATGGGGTACGAAGAGAGCAAAAATCATCTCCTCAGTCTCAGTTACCCTGAGCTGCAATGTCTGTGCAAAAGGTATAACCTTCCTGCTAAGAAGACCCACTCTCAGTTAGCAAGTTCGATCGCCTCGCTGCTTGAGGTAAGCATATATGTTATGTTTGGACTTTATTACTTTTACTTCAGAGTTTGCTACAAGTATGAGCTAGTTTCATCATCTATTTAAATTCAGAATTTGAAATGCAACTGTTTTCTTCTACACAGGCATCTCCATCTCCTGCTGCCCCTCCTGTCCAATTAGCAAATATGGAAGAAGCATCCGCATGTATGTACAGTAACTTTTTATGTTAAACTTAGTTGGCGGATTGTTTATGTTTGCACAATGGTTTATTTTGTCAGACTCTTTTGCTCTGAAAGATGATGCTTTAGGACTAATTGACAGCTTAATTAACTGCAGGCAACCTTGTTAACAAGAAAAGGGGCCCATACAGTGGCAGGGATGATGGTATACCACCTGTGCACGCAAAGCATAAAAAAGGAAATCAAACACCTGTTGATGAAACATCTAAAAAGGTAAGAAACTTTAACCATACCGTTGTTTTCTTTTCTTGTTTCCCATGAAAAATTAACACCTGTTATTACTAATGGGCTCATCTGTTATCCGTAACTCTTTTGCATGAACCCTGCAGCTATATTGTTTTTGCTTTACCGATTTATTCTTTTTTACTCAAGTTGGTCTGATATTGGAAAGTTAAGAGAAGTATAACTAATGCACCTCCCCCCCCCAAAAAAAAAAGAGCACATACACACCAAAACACATGCACACAACCAAAAAGCAAACAAAAATAAAAAAGGTTTCTTCCTAGTAAAACAGAAGGATTCTAGTTTTGATATTTTTCAGGGATCCTTTCATACGATTTTATGCAAACTGCAAATGCCTATTTAGGAATCATTTACACACTTCCTGTTAATCTGGGTTGCACCTGACCATCCTAAATATGAGAGTGGCACTTCTTCTGCAGGTGCTTTTTGGATTTTGGTATTCTATTTGTACTCTGTTTTGTGCCACTCAATTGTTGATATAGATTACATTAGTGTTTTTCTGTTTGCCACAGCAGTAATTTGTTGGTTTATTTTCACTTAAAATGTAAGTCTGTTTCACCATGTATCTATGAAATGCTTTGCCCATTTGTCTGTGTATTGTTTAAATGGATGTCTTTATAATCCTTTTTTTTCTCTATCCTGTAGAAGGGGATTGGCACTGGTACGAGTGTAACTCCAGTTTCTATGAACCATGGAAGACCGGACTGTCATGGCCATCCATCTTCTGACCTGGGGACTGCTGATAATTTGCAGTCCCGAAGTGATGTGGGTGTTGCAACTAAGACAACAAATCTAGTATTTGTTAGCAAACATCATTGTTCACCTGCTAACATAATTGATCAAATCTGTCCCCCTATTATTCAAAAATATCCTTCTAATGGTAATGGTCAGGCTTCCACTCCGTTCGCCCATGTGAATGATAACACAGATAAGGGTTGTCGGTTGTCTGATAAGATATCAGCAAATACTACTCCTGTTCAATTTTCTGTAATGTCAGATGAGGGCATTGATCTTGTTGTTGATCTGAACTCCAGTCCAGCAACATGGGCGAAGAACTTCATGGCAGAAATGCGCATTACCCCTCCGTCTGAACATGGGAATTTCTCTAGCTTCATTAGCAGTTTGGCAACTAAGGATGATCATAGCACTGCCGCACCATCTGGAAATATCATTGTTGACATTCATAACAAGGGGCCTGAGAACATCGTTCCTTCCACTGATTCATCACTTGCTTCAGATGTTGGTGAAAACTCCCGTTCAGTGCTCTATCCAGTTGATACAACTACTGTGAACTCAGTGTCATCCACGTCTACAGTGGCTGGTACCCCAGTTGAACTTTCTGGGTATCAGGAGGGTGCTCCAGTGGTATGTTCTTCATGTTTAACAGATGATGTTCAGAACAATGTGACATCTGATATGCCAGGTGCTTTGGATAACGAGGTGCTTCCTCCAGAACCTGCTGATGTCTTTATGCAGTCTGAAAGAATCACTGCACCGGCAGTTTGTGCTTCAGTGCAACCAATTGGCAATAAATGCACAATGAGTCCCGGTAAAACCAAAGTTTTTGCAAGATTTGTTGCACTCAAAATGTTTCAGTTGCTGATACAGACAATTTATCTACCTTTTTGTCAGGGGATGGGGTTAGAAGTGACTCCAATGAAGACTCCTATCCAAAATCTTCAGGAAAACAAACTGGAGATGTTCCCGCAAGAGATCAGCCTGCTCATAATGGTGGCACTCATGAAACCCTAATGGAAAATGAACCTGTGAAGGCAGTGGTAGTGGAAGAAAATATAGGTCGTGATGACAGTTTGTCCATTTCTTGTCAACTAGCCAGTAAGACAGTAGCAAAACTCCCAGTTACAGATGCCCAGTCGCCTGCTAGTTTTGCTGGTCATTTTATTGCTGGCAATTTTGACCACACACATCCAACATCTTCTGCTGCTTCGGTAATTTCTTATACTTGACATGATATACTTACATAATTTGATATGCCTTAATACTTTGGCTAAGGAAAATGTGTTTGTATTGGATGCTACAAATGCTATGCTATGTGTTTCTTAACCAGCCATGCTTTAGCTTGTTCTCATGGTTTTCTGGGAGCATGTTGTCTTGGATGTAATTTACCATGATGGCTTATCAGTTCATCCCATATCCCTTATTGCTTCAGTCTCTTTCTAGTTTCTGCTGGCAGTCAGCAAGTGGTCAAGTTGGCGATTTTTATATTGTTTCACAAGTTCAGGTTCAGTCATCATATTTCACTGTATATATGGTTGGATGCAAACCTTATGATTCTATTCTAGTACATATTTCAGTTCAGGTTCCCAGCTGTAAAATGTTGGAAGATGTTTTGGAGTTTGGACAAATAGCTATGGGCCATTGTTTGTTACGCTTCAATCAAATGCCATCCTTTGTACTGGGTCCTCTGAGATTTGACCCAACTATGCAATTATGTGATCTCTGATGGACAACATCAGATTGAGGACTATGGATGTCAGGGGACTGGTTCGTTGCAGGAAGATTGTAGCCAAAGTTGGTAATAGCCCAGGGGAAGGGATGTTGTCGGCAACCCATTGTCGCCAACAAGGAAAGTGATGTCGCGCACGGGCAGCAGGGAGGTGGCAGCACTAGGGAGAGAGATGGAGGGGCACGAGGCCAGAGGCGTGGGCAGCAGGGACTTAAAACTGGACCCCTAAACAAGCCTATAGATGGAACCTTATGGATTGGATCCATCGTTTCCTAAACAAACTCGACTTCCATATCGCTGATTTCCAAACCTGTCTTAAAGTTCCTAAACCAAACCCAAATCTTCTAAAATAAATCACTGGTGGACATGAGGGGGGTACTACCTTCTGGCAATGTGGCCAGGACAGCACTGGGTTGGTTTTACTGAGGTGGCCCATGCCCATAACACTACAGGACATGTTCGTTTTGTCCTCAGTTTAGATCCATTTAGTTGCAGCAGGAAGGTTGGCTGATTTAAGAGGAAAAGGGCAGAATGGGGAAGAGTAACTAGACAAATTTCCCATATCTAGGATTTTTTTAAAAAAAAAAAAAACTCAACTGGATGGTTTAATTAATAAAAAAATAGTATTAACATTACAGGTACAGCAGACATTATATTTATAACCTCAAAGTACAAAAAAATAAGTGGGTTACAAAGTACTAAAATAACATGGAATCCATAATTAGGGTCTCTTTGGGTGCTGCCATGTGTCAGCCCTGCCAAGGAGCCGCCCAGCCAAAATTTGGTGTTTGATTTGGTCGCCCATGAATAGGCCAAGCTTGGGCAAAAAAATGAAACTGCTCGTGGGCACATGAGTCAGTGTAAGGGAAATCATGACTGCTATCCAAATGACGCCCTTGCCCATGGCCAACGGCCGAATTTTGTTCGGGCTGCTCCGGGCACCCATCCAAATGCACTCTTAGTGACCTTTTTTATGTTTGCCATACATGGTCCCTTCTCCATCTTGGATTCTTTTTCTTTGTTTCTTATGCCATCTTACAGTTTACAAAAACATAAGACTTATATGGCCAAGCAAGCATTTCTTTTTTCTGTATGTCTCGTAGTTTTCATAGTTGATACATGTTGTTATTCATTTTCTATATACTATTTTCTCTGGGTCAGAAGAACTCAAGCAGTCAAACTCGTCCCTGAGTTCCCTATGCCACTCTGATAATTGTGATCCGTGACTAGAAATTGAACCACTATTATGTTGAAATTCTGATTGACTTAATCAAAGCATGGAAGTTTACCATGACAACAATGTTGTCAGATTATTCATTATCGAGTAGGATGCAATAGCACCACCTCATTGGCACATTGGCCATCACTTGCCAAAACATATCGCAACTGGTTCAACTGTTTTGTAACATCCACAAGGTTTGAATAAATAACATGAACTTGCTGATTTGCTCTTGAGCCAGGGGATTTTGATGTCACCCTAAGTGTCACGGTCTCCAAGATGAATTGGTTCTGTAAACCTTTATTAAGCAACAGCGTTTAGAAACACCGCCATGAGAAATTGTTTCCAAGTTCTGCACAAGAACCAGTCTTCTCAGCATGCTTGGCTTCTAAAAGTGCAGGGTGTAACCCTACCATATTTCCCTAAATAAGGTGCAATGTGTATAGATATGCCTTGTGACTTATGCTTGTTGACCATGGACTTGGAGATCTACTCTCTTCCAAGATCCCGCATGTATGTTTAATTAGAAAGAAAGATGAAAGAGCAAAAAGGGTAAACTAGATTAAGCACCCTAGGCAAGCTTCCATCAGGGGAATTCATAAATCAGTAAATTGGCGATTAGTCAAGTGCTACTTTTTAATCTTGTATCATACCCAACTCTGAGACTGATGGGATCAACTCCATGCTACCTTCGATCCCAAATGTAAGTCCATTTAGGTTTTGTCCGAAGTCGAACCTTTTTGGCTTTGATCATTATAACAGCCTAAAAACATTCTCTATAACTTATGATAAGGTTGATGTTACTAAATTCATAATATATAGTTCATTCTATTTGAGATAATCAGATAATAGATTTTTATGTATAATATTAGTCAAAGTGCCACATATATTTTGTTTTCCTCGGAACAGTAAAAAGTGCCACATTGGAGGTTCTGTCAATGTTCCTAATGTACTCTATAATTATAATTCGAGGTTTGGATGCACAATTTGTGAATAAAAATATGAATTCGAAAAATGAATGGATGGACTTCAAATCAAATATGTAACATAATGGAGCTCCAAGATTGACAATGTCCTTTTATTAACTACATCAGCCTTGCATGCACTCTTATTTTAAGCCATAATCTTTGACTTTGTTCTGACTTGCTAAAATGACTGTCATCCGAGCACTCTGTGCGGTGAGTTCCTCCAGTTTAGCTAAATCACCTAACACATGTAGTAAAATTTTCCCTATATCACTTTTTCCTATACCTTTTAGAAATAGAAACACAAATAGGTCACTACATGCTTGCCTATATTCAACTTGTTTTTGTCTGTTTTCTGTAGTCATGGACGCGAGGGTCACTTTCAACTAGTTATAGTGTCTGCTGTTACGAAAATAGTAAATGCATGACTGACTAATTTTACTGGTTTGCACTTTGTAGTAAAAGGGGAAGAGAAGGAAAGCTGGTAAATATATTATTTTGGTCCATGGCAGTCTACATGTACCACTTTTAGCTCCGCAACTGCAAACCTGCTTATTTGGTAATTGATATTCCACTGACCTCCTTAGCTGGCATTTTTGGTATTAGTTACCAATGCCTTTGTGTACTCTGACTGGCAAAACTTACAGCACATTATACATTCCGAAAGCCAGGAACGATTTAAGAAAGTATATTTATGAACCTCAGTGCCGACTTTTATTTTGTTACATAATCTTGCACTGACTATGTTTGGAAAAAAAAAATCTCCATTTTTGATATGGCATTCCGTTTATTGACTCCTTTATGATGGTGTGATGTTTTCTGTGCATGATGAAAGGTGTTTTATTATCGGAATGCTTTGTTGTGCCTAGTTTATGGTGTTTTGGTTGATTTATGCTTGCTAGTATATAATGATGTATAGATCTTGGTGTCCCCAGAGCAATTTACTAACTTACTTCTATCATCTTGAAGGAGAATGCTATTAATTCCCTGACTTCAAAGTTCGGTGCAGAGTATGTTTCTACAAATACTGTTCATACTTCTGTTTTCAATTACTAGTCGCATGCCTAAAGGGTTCCTTTCTTCTTTAGGTCAGCACAAAGTCATGATTCTACAGACAAAAAGGGACAGAATGATGCTGAGGAGCTTGAGGAGTTGGAGAGTATGACACCGCCAGCCTATAGTGAACCTCCCAGAAATATACAACTTAGCTTACGAAGTGCTTCCGCTAAGGTCAAGCCTTCTACACTACCAAGACGATCAGCAAGGCTTCTTCCTAAGGTTTGTGTACATTGTCATTTACTGTAATCACCAATACTATAGTATAAGCTCATGCTATCACTCTCATTGAAAGGATGGTAGACTGATTAAAGAAATCAATGTGTGCTGGATCATGTGCTTATTTTTGCTAATCCCTCCGTCCCAAATTATAGGTTGTTTTGGTTTTTCTAGGTTCATAGCTTTTGCTGTGTACTTAGATATATGCTATATCTAGATACATAGTAAAAATCAAAATGACATATTATTTGGAATGTGGGTAGTATGTAGTTTTGATTCCTGTAAATAACATAACATTTTCTGGAGTTTAATCAACATACTTTGTTTTCTTGACATGCAGTAACTGCACTAAATGATACAGATGAGATCCAGTGTGAGAATAGCCTCACTACCGGCTTAGTCAGATTCCATGAGGGTGGAGGGATAGAAAACAGTTGTTAACAAGCTTAGATTCTAATTTTGTCTGTTCTTGTTAGTAAATTCTTTTTGTTCCAGCAACTGAGTAGACCTTGGTTTCTGGCTGCCAGACTTTTTTTTACCCTTGTCTCCATCAGCGTCTACAGTTATAGTCGTACTGTCGAGCTTTCATACACCATTGTACAAACGACTCATTCTTTTACAGCATCTGTGTTTCCTCTGGTCTTGTGTGTTTTATGTCAGTGCAATATAACTATTGGTGCAGGAGTAAGCTTGTTTAAAATGAAGAAAATAAACGCTGTTTACAGTATGTTGTAGGCAATGATGTTGTGAGTTGCTTCTCAAGAAACAACGTTTCATAAAATGATTAAAATGGAGAAAAGACTTGTTGGAAGATGTCTTGTGTGTTTTATGTCAGTGCAATATAACTATTGGTGCAGGAGTAAGCTTGTTTAAAACAATTAAAATAAATGCTGTTTGTGGTGCAGGCAACGATATTTTGAGTTGCATCTTGAGAAACAACGTTTCATAAATATAAAAATTAAATGAGAAACAACGTTTCACAAATATAAAAATTAAATGAGAAACAACGTTTCACAAATATAAAAATTAAAATGAAAAATTATGCCCCCACGCAGGATCGAACACGGACCTTCAGTTTACAAGACTGACGCTCTACCACTGAGCTATAGGGGTATGCCCCCACGCAGGATCGAACACGGACCTTCAGTTTACAAGACTGACGCTCTACCACTGAGCTATAGGGGTTATTGTATACAAAAGGCTACGAACATCTATTGAATTGGTGCGAGTTGTCCCATACCTCCAGCTCCTTGGTACAATGTTCAAAGAGCTGAAGCTAGAAAAACCTTTGAAGTCAATTTTTATAGCTTCATCGGTTTTCAATTCATTTTGCGGACAGAAATTAAATTCACTCCTCGCTAAAGTGTACAAGATTCCTATAAACTTTTAGAAAAGAAGACCCCCCAAACGGGAACAAACTTGTTTTAACTTTGGAGGAAAAACCAAGTGATGCAATCCTACGCGTGGATATGTGGCTTCACTTGCCTTGACATACATACTTTTAAATTTTTTACTTGATCATGTACCTCCATATAAATCATAGTCAAACTTTCCCTTTTTGTTTTAAAATCTCAACTCAAGTTTTCTTTCTAAGAGAATTTTAAGACTTGCTAGCAAAACCAAAAACCTTTGAGTACTTTTTGGGTTTTGAGCCAACACCTATTTGAACTAATACCTATTTTGGACTAATAAGATTTTCAAAATTGGGAACTGTTTTAACCCTATTTTGGAAAGTCATGTCTAAACATATGCTCCATACAAGAATGAGTCAATAAATATTTTAAAATACTTAAAGTTTGAATTTGATCTCCCACTCAAATTCAAACTGTATATTTTGTATTATTAAAACATATTTATTTATGAAAGTATGTTTAAAAGATTTTGTTAAAATGAAATCCTTTTAGGAAATCTTTGAATTAAATGCCTTTGTCAAATTCAACGTAAGTGTATGCATATTTTATTTCCCTAAGATAATAAATGTGTTTTCTATATGGATTTGCATGCATGTGTTGAAGTGTTGAGCGTTATTTGCTTTTCACTGTATTTTAATTGATTGAAGTGTCAGGCAACAGAAGTTTATGGTGCACTCTAAAGAAGATGCAAAAAGGTCCCAAACTTATCGGAGTCACCGGAGAAGCAATACCAGGAAAGACTCCTTCAACGATCGGCAACGGCTAGTCAATGTGGCAAGACGTTGTATTTCTCCGGTGGTGTCACTTTCCATGATGTCTGCAAAAATGCAGATGGCCACCAACAGTTATATTTCGGGGGGAGAGGCTATATGTACCTCCTTGGGTGGCCATTGGAGTTGTGTTGGAGCTGAAGAAAGTTGCTAGTAAGTTGAGGCTCATCTTTATATGCTCCCGTTGTCATAAGTGCTTAACGAAATATTAGGAAGTTATTGCTTAGGCTAGTTAGATCACACAATTGGCGCTTTGCTATAGGCTTAAGCTTAGTGTTTAATAAGGTTTGCATACCTCTTGTGTCATGACCCGATCATGACATGACCTTTTACATCATCATCATAAGCATCATTTGTTGTTTAATTTAGTTTTGCAAAACTTGCAAATGCACCCAACTGAATTTTCTAGGCTCCCTTATGTCCTCGGGACAGTCCGGTGCACTCCCTATAGTTCACGAGGACATGTCCACAGACTTAGCAATTTTTGCAGACAATGTGTCCCCGCGGACCGTCCGATGATCACTTGGACACAGATCACTTCATGCATAGCAGTGAGCTGTCCTACCTGGGCACTCTAGGCCTACATGTCAGGACGCCTGTCTCCCACTACTAGAAATATCCACTTCTATGACAAAAATGTTAATGACGAATTCGAAACCGTCATAGAAGAGCGCTTTTTATGACTAATATTTCCGTTTCATCATAGATCGGTGGTGACGATCTACAACCCTCCCTTTCTATGACAAAATCAGGCATCTTCACAAAAACGTCATAGAAAAACATAGGGTTTGTCACAGATCACTCGCGCGACTCATCTGTGACGATCTCCTTCAAAACTATGATGAACAGGGCTTCGTCATTGAACTAATTACACATCTGTGACGAACAATATTCGATCGGTAACAAACTGCTTCGTCATAGATCTCCACATGATACTTTCTCCATCCAACGTGTACTTGTGGAACCTATAGTTACTCATCCGTGATGCTTACAATTCGTCATAAAAGTCTCAGCTCGATCATATCTTCATGCGACGTGTACCTATGGGACCCTTCTCCATCCGACGTGTACCTGCAGGACCTGCAGTTATTCATCCGTGACGCTTGCAATTCGTCATAAAAGTCTCCACTCGGTTCTTTCTCCGTCCGACGTGTACCTACGGGACCCTTCAACATCCGACTTATGGAACCCGACGGCTTATGTGTAATGTGTACATGTGGGACCGTTCTCCATCTCCATCTGACCTGTGGGACCCGACGACCCATCTCCATCCGACCTGTGGGACCCAATGGCTTGCGTGTCACTTTATGCTTGCAATTCGTCATAAAAGTCTCCGCTCGGTTCATCTGCATCTGACCTGTGGGACCCGACGGATTACGTGTCACGTGTACCTATGGGACCTTTCTCCATCTCCATTCAACCTGTGAGACCCGACGGTTTGCGCGTCACTTGTACCATGTGTGCCGTCGGGGTTTAATTTCTCAAAAAAGGTCTGATACCTAGGAGTCGAACACGGGATCTAGACTAAGGATTGGAGCATCTTTACCATTGCGCTAGACGCCTGGCTATGCTAACATCTCTTTGGAGTTGCTATAGTATCCTATTGGTTGTGTTACAGGTTGGCCTAAATTGGATATATCCCTACAAGTGGAAACAAATCTATGCCCGCTGGACTTGCGGCGGCGACGGCGGAGGCGGAGGATTCCCGGTCTGCTATGATGGCTGAGGCGTCCTTTTGGTGGCGTGGAGGGGCTCTCTCGGTGGAGCGTGGCGGCATTGGCGTCCGCGTAATCAGGTGTGTGCCGCGGTAGAGGCGACTTGCAACCGAGCCATGCCAGTTCGTAGAACAAAGGTATGAGTACCTTCTTCTATGATTATAGGACTTCATTTTTTGTACGCGATAAAAGTAAAGAACACATAAAGAAAGGCTATTCTGTATGAATTTCAATTGAAATCAATGCTTTTGTCACACAAAAATAGAAAACCAGACTGCCCCATAGTATGATATGAACAAATGCATAGATTAGTGCTCTCGAACACTGTATGCTTTATTCTAATGCTAGTTTTTCTATTGTCCACCTAATGGTCGAAACTCTAACGAATTTTGCATACTTTTGCTGCAACAGATGGACAGATCCTATATTCCTAGTAGGAGACCATTCTCGTCGATGTTCATCATAGGAGTTGAAGAGTTCATGGATATGGTTAAACAAGAATACCTAGAGCAAAACATCCTTTGCCCATGTACATATTGTGTTAACCAGGTGGTTAAAACTTGTCATGAGGTGAAGGATGACTTATAAACAGAATGTCACCCACATACACCACATTGATTCATCATGGGGAAGAGGGAGGAGGTACTGACATTACAGAGCCATTAGATGTGCATGGATGATATGTGCATGGATCTCATCATGATAGTTGGATTGCGGAGGAGTAGGAGGACCTCGACGATAACATATTATCAGATTTTGATGATTTAGTTCAAAAGCTGTTGACATCTGAAGAACAGGCTGGAAGAGTCTCAAAGTTTGAAAGAGTGTTGGATGAGTTGAAGCAATCAGTTTCTTCTAGATCTACCTTCTTAAGATTCTCCTTCCTTGTTAGGTTGCTCTATATCAAGTTCCACTATTGAGTTAGCAATAACTATTTTGATGCACTATTGGCGTTGCTGTCAGATGCATTCCCTAGTAGCAACGTACCAAAATCATGTGAGGAGACCCACAAATATATTCGAGAAATGGGACAAGGTTATGAAAGTATCCATGTGTACAATAACAACTGTGTGTTGTTTTAGGGTGATCGTAAACTGTGTGTTGTTTTAGGGTGATCGTGAGGAATTGTAAGCATGCCCAAAATGCAAAGAGTCTAGATGGGAGGATGTAGATGGTAGCAGGCGGGTTCCTCGGCATTTTCCTCTAATACTGAGGTTGTAGAGGATCTTTGTTGCTCGAGGAACAGCAGCGGATGTCGAATGGCACGAGACTAAGCGGGAGAAGAATACCAGTGAAATGAGCCATCCAGTAGACAGGGAGTGAAAGCTCTAGTTTAGTTTTGGTGAATTGATAAAACCCTAAGTGCTAACCAAGTTTATCAAGTGATCATGACATAGGTAGCACATTCCAAGTGGCGAAGCAAATGAAGATCATGACATGATGATGGTGATGCCATGGTGATGATCAAGTGCTTGGACTTGAAAAGAAGAAAGAGAAAAACAAAAGGCTCAAGGTAAAGGTATAAGTGGTAGGAGCCATTTTGTTTTGGTGATCAAGACACTTAGTGAGTGTGATCACATTTAGGATTGTTAGCCGTACTATTAAGAGGGGTGAAACTCGTATCGAAATGCGGTTATCAAAGTGCCACTAGATGCTCTAACTCATTGCATATGCATTTAGGATCTAGTGGAGTGCTAACACCCTTGAAAATGTTTGTGAAAATATGCTAACACATGTGCACAATGTGATACACTTGGTGGTTGGCACATTTGAGCAAGGATGAAGAAGATAGAGTTGAAAAGGAGTTAGTCACGCTGGTCATGCAGTGACCGGACGCTGGTCTCAGTAGGACCGGTGCGTCCAGTCAATGATACAGCAAAGACGCTGGCGTCGGTCTTCGACCAGACGCTGGGTCACTTGGTGACCGGACGCTAACAAGGTGAGTCCAGTTCGACTGATGTGGCAGCGCACAGAAGAGTCACCGTGTGACCGGACGCTGGGTGAGTCCGGTCAAGCATGACCG